TTTTATTTCTTCTTTAAGGGCCTCTATCATCTTCTTAAAGTCATTTTTAGGATTGATTTCTTCTGTTTCTTCTGTCTTGGCATGTTCAGGTCTTGCAGGTGTAGAATCACTGGGTTCTGATGTTGCCATATAGGTCTTTATGTTGTTGCCTGTATTTTTGCACTGGCGTCTACTCATCTCTTCCTCTGCTCAGTGCAGGTGGTGTCTGTGTCTGAGAGTGCCTCTCTTGTTCTAATTTTTAGTCTTGGTTTAGTAGGGGTTCTTGGTTCAATTGGTGCTATTGGGCTATTTCTTCAGGGGCAGCTGATCTCAGTCAGTGAAGTATATACTTATGATTCTGGTGATCTGGTTTGGTGGCTGGGCAGACCTTCTTCTGTGTTCCCAGGTCATGTTTTGTTCATTCGTCAACTCCTTAGCTGATCTTGTTTCTTCAGACTTCAAACTGTAGGGATCTGAATCCTCTCCCGGATAGATTTCAGCTAAGCGAGGTAGTCTCACCAACACCTCCAAGTTGTTGGGTTTTGCAGGATCAGCAGCTGAGCCCTGGGTTGGCCTCAGACGGAGTGTTCAGATTCGTTCTGGTTCCATCCCACGGAGATAGCTTCTTCCCTGAGTGTTGGGATTAGAGGCGTTCCTGTTCCAAGCTTTTGATTAAGAGTTTGTTTTCACTAGCTCTTCAGTGGGTAATAGCTCTATTTCTGGTCTTTATTGTGACTGTGTTTCAGCCCGCCTCCTCCTGGGCCTGCCTGCCTCCGCACCAGGCCTGCCTGCCTCTGCCAGGCCATCCTACCTCTGCCTGCCGCCACTGCGGGCCTACCTGCCTCTGCTTGTCGATGCTGCTGTGCCTGTCTACCTCTGCGGGCTGCCGCCGCCGGGCCTGTATGTCTCTACTGGCTGCCACCAGACCTGTATGTCTCTGCCAGCCGCCGCCGCCGGGCCTACTTGTCCCTGTTTGTCGCTGTCACCAGGCCTGTTTGTCTCTGCCGGCCGCCACAGGGCCTGTATGTCTCTCGTAACTATAATTCTTGCTTGATAATTGTTTTGTTATCTATAATTTTACTATGTGAAAGTTAAAACCTTCCTTTTTGAAAAAAAAATGGGGGGAGTGCTGTGGATGATTGATTGATAAATAAAACACTGATTGGCCAGTAGCTAGGCAGGAAGTATAGACGGGACTAGCAGAGAGGAGGAGACGCTGCCAGCCGCCACCATGAGTACCAGCATGTAAGATATTGATAAGCCACAAGCCATGTGGCAACTTATAGATTAATAGAAATGGGTTAATTTAAGCTATAAGAACAGTTAGCAAGAAGCCTGCCATAGCCATACAGTTTGTAAGCAATATAAGTCTCTGTGTTTACTTGATTGGGTCTGAGCGGCTGTGGGACTGGTGGGTAGGAGAGATTTGTCCTGATTGTGGGCCAGGCAGGAAAACTCTAGCTACAAGAGACCAGCTGGCTGACCTGTGTAAAGGTAACTCTGTATAACTCTTTGCTTTTTCATCTGTAAGATGGAAGGTGTTTTTACCTTTGGTGTTTTGATCTGTGTTAAATCTAAATTTTTTTGTGAATTAGTAAAATGTCCAAATGGTAAAAATCTATATAAATGGTAGCTATTGCTAGTGCTATTTTATGCTATATTTTAGTAAAGTACTTGATATATGATATTTTGTCATCATTATTATTGTATGACTACTATTATACCTAACACGTAATTACATTATGTTAAATTTACATTCATTTCTTTTCTTTCTTAAAAACCTTGTTTATTTTATGTGAATGTGTGTGCCTGAGTATGTGGACCACATGCTTGTAAGTGCCTGAAGAGGCTAGAAGAGGGTATTGGATCTCCTGGAGTTGTGGGTGGTTGTGAGCAGCCTAATGTGGGCACTGGGAATAGAACCCAGGTCCTCTGAAAGTTCAGCAAGTGCCCTTAACTGCTGAGCCATCTCTCAAGCACCCTACTTCTCTTCTTCTTTTGCCTCTATCTTTTAAATTTTCTTCTTAATTCTTGGTAAATTTACAATGTGACTTTTTTTTTAACCCTAATTGTAAAATTTGAGAATTGATTGAAAAAAAACTAACATCATTTGTTTATTAATTTATGCAAAATTTTTTATTGATCATGTTCTCAGTTGCAAGCACTGAGCAAAGCACTTAGAATGATTCCAAGCTGCATAAGACAAGAGATATCGTCTACATTTAGACCAGAATACCTGTAGGGAGGGATTCCATCTGCAGAGACTTGGGGGGGGGTGGCCCTGGAGGATGCACAATTTAATTATAGTCTCCAAGGTCTGAGAGGGTGAAGGCAATCTGAAAAATGGGTCAGAATCATGCAGAGTTCTGGAACTCGGTCCAGGAATGGGAAGTATTTTCCTGAGCATGTGATAGAGAGTGTGTATGGCAGTCAATAGCATGAAGCACAGCTGGAGAGGACTGGGCATCCTTACTTACTGTTGGGCAAGGGAATGAGATGGGGTTTGTCAGGGAGTAGAGAGCAGTGAACCCTTTACAGCAGGGAGGGAGTTATATCTTAACCATAGGCACACTGTTTTTGTTGGATTATTTATTTATAGACAGATCTTACTACATAAACCCAGGCTGGCCTTGAACTCTTGGTTTTTCTTCCTCAGCTTCCCAAGTGCTACCTACCATGTCTGTGTTGGTATAGTGTTGAGGACTGTTATGACTCTTGTATATGGATGGAGTGGGCACGGAGCCAGCTGTACAGTCATGAGTCCTTTGATGTGTCTAGCTGCTGCTCAGGATCTTAAGTATAGGTTACTGGCTGTGCAGAAATACAAGAAATTGACAATCCCGGTGCATGCTTGGTCATCAGGGTTGGGACATGCTGTCTTCATTGGCATACTTACAGAGCATGTATTATGAGCTAGCCATTTCTAATTCAGTTCTCATGGCAATGCAGATTGTTGTACCCATCTTGCAGATGGGAACTTGAGCTTGGAGGGCTTAGGAGCCATCACTGCGATCCTCTGCCTTTCCTCTCCTGGCCAGGCCTTCTCATTCAGACTCTCAGTGACTTCTTAGCTTTCCTTCACCATTGTCTCCTGCCTTTGCCCTCTTGTGTCAGCCTGCCTTGTAAAGGTAGGAATGAGGAGAACCATTTATGAATGTGATCCGCCCCTAGGAATCATTATAGTGTTTTGCTTTGAATTTTATGTGCTCAGAAAGTGAGGTATATAAGATCCAAGTGTTAAACGTCAGTTGCTGGCCGCTTACCTTGTGAGTTCCAAGGACTGGCCTGCTTCTGAGGCTGTCTTTAGGCAGCAAATACACCATCAGCTCAGGGAGGGGACAGCAGCAGAGTGACTGTGTGTAGGAAGACAGCCGTTCACATACAAACTGAGCGGGACCGAGGGTTTTCCACTGGGTTTTCCTCCCCTCTTGCATTCAGGACTAAGCAGATTACTAACCTGTGGTGATTAAGTCCCATCCAGAAGGAAGCGAGTGCGCCTGTTTCAGGGAAGCGCAGCAGTGGCAGGTGTACTGGATGACTTCAGTTATTCCCAAATAGCTCCTCACTGAAATGCAGGTCACAGTGTTTTCTGTGATGATGTAATGCCTTTCCACCCCTAAATACTGCCTTTCCCCTCTTTATATATACAGGAACTTGACAAAGAACTCCCAGTGCTTAAGCCGTATTTTATCAGTGACCCTGAAGAAGCTGGAGTGCGAGAGGCTGGCTTAAGAGTCACGTGGCTGGGACACGCAACGCTGATGGTGGAAATGGATGAGCTCATATTCCTTACAGACCCCATGTTCAGCTCCCGCGCTTCTCCCTCGCAGTACATGGGTCCAAAGCGATTTCGCCGTCCCCCGTGTACAATAAGTGAACTTCCCAGAATCGATGCTGTCCTTATTAGTCACAACCACTATGACCACCTGGACTACGGCTCTGTCCTCGCTTTGAATGAGCGATTTGGCAGTGAGTTGAGATGGTTTGTGCCTTTGGGTCTTCTCGACTGGATGCAGAAATGTGGCTGTGAGAACGTGATTGAGCTGGACTGGTGGGAGGAGAATTGCGTCCCTGGCCATGATAAGGTCACTTTTGTCTTCACGCCTTCCCAACACTGGTGTAAAAGGACCCTCATGGATGACAACAAGGTTCTGTGGGGCAGTTGGTCTGTGTTGGGGCCTTGGAATCGATTCTTCTTCACTGGGGATACTGGTTACTGCCCTGCTTTTGAAGAGATAGGAAAGAGGTTTGGTCCCTTTGACCTTGCAGCTATTCCCATCGGAGCTTATGAACCAAGGTTTGTAAATGTGTACTTCACACGTTATGATTCTTGATGCTATCTAATTTGTGATTTTAGTGGTGGGCTTGATACACATTGATGGAGGTTGAAGTTAGATTCAAATTTAATTTTATATTAAGGTGTAAAGAATTCAGCTGGGCGGTGGTGGCTCACACCTTTAATCTCTGTGAGTTTGAAACTAACCGGGGGAAAACAAAACAAAACAAAACAATTTCTAGATTCTTGCCAGAGCCCACATACCTTCCTGCTTACTAGCCAGTACCTAGAACCAACTTTTATTCTTCCTCTTCACATGGATGATTCTTCTGCAGATGACTGGCTTTGACTCTGTGATTGGGAATTTCCAATCCCTGTCCTGCAGATCTTCTGTTTAGCAGATCGAGAAAGCAAGGAGTTGGCCTGTAGTCTGTGTGATGTGCATGAAGAATCTGGTCCTGACATGCTCTCACCACTGTGTGCTCCTCACCTATTTTGAGAGCAGTTAAGGGCCACACTGTCACTGAAGACCCAGAAGAACTCAGTCAAACAGATGTACAAGTGAAGCAAAACCGATTGTAATAAAGTGGTCTAGGAAGTTGGCTTACTGGTAATAAAATGAGGCTTATGCAAGCATGGAGGTGCAGATTGGTTCCTCAGAACCCACAGTAAAAAACCCTGCTTGACAGCACATTCCTGTAATTCCAGAGCTGGGGAGGCAGATGGGAGGATCCTGGGTGTTCACTGTCAGTGTAACCAATCAATGAGGTCCAGGTTCAGTGAGAGAAGCTGTCTTTAAAACAAGGTGGAGGCTGGTGAAATGGAGTAGCGGGGCACCTGCTACTCAGGGTGAGCAGACCCAAGTTTGATCCCTAGGACCTGCAAGTTTGAAGCAGAGAATCCACCTACACTCAAGTTCTCTTCACCCACTTGTGTGTGTCACAGGCAAAGAATGAATGTCATCATTTTTGTTTCTTAAAAAGGTGGAGAGTGATAGAGAGAAACACCTGATGTTGACCTCTGGGCTGCACATGCCCCCACACACATGTGCACATACATGAACACACCACACATACCAGGTTTTGCTTTACTTTTCACAGCATGCACATACATGTTTGTTATTAGGCAACCCTACAAGCATTGTATCTCAAATACAAGCAGTATATATAATCTCAACAGAGCTTAGACTTACTTATGTAGCTGTTTGTACACATGGTGACAGATTGGGTAAATCCAGCTTTTTGTTTTCACCCTGTATCTATCCATTCATTCATCAGTTTTCCTTCTTTCTTTCTTGTAACTGGGGATTGAATCCAGGGCCTGAGGCATCACAGAGCTATAGCCCCATCTCTGTCAAATTCATTTGTTAACCTTTAAGTTCACCAAACCATTTTTCTTATTCTTATTCTTTTATTTATTTATTTAGCTTTACTTATTTCCTTATTGTGGGTGGGTTTAGATACTTTAACCTGTTTTGGGTTCTTAGTAATTATTGAAACTATCATAACTTGCCAGATGAGGCAGCACATGCCTCTAACCCCAAAACTGAGAAGTTGAGGCAGGAGAATCTGTTCCAAAAAGCCACCACCATTACAGACCACAACAGAAATTATTGTAAGTCAGTATTAGTGTTTAAATTTTACATTTTCCATTCAAATTATTCTAGTTCTCATGAAACTCCTGAAAATATCAATCGACGTGGCTTTAAAAAATGGTCACAAATCATTTTCACATGGTGTTGACTTTTACTCCCTACATAAAGAGTATCTCTTTACTGTTATACAAACAAGCCTTTATGGGTGGCATCCCGTGTTTAATGTCTGTGTCTGTGGTGACGGCACAAACTGCATGGCCACAGCCTTGCCCCTTCTCTACAGTGCCTCCGTCTTCTTTCTGGGCTGTGAGAGTCCGGGGGTGGGGCCATGGCTTGCTTTAAGAGCATTAAATGTAGTTCACATGGACTGTAGAATCTGGTTTTGTTTTGTTGACCCTAGCTGATTTAGAAATAAAATAAAACTTAGGAATCCTGTACACATGTAAGCTGATTATAGTGAAAAATGGCTTTCAGTTGTGTGCTGGGAATATTTGATGCCTGGTGCTGGGGTCTCTCATCCCCAGATGCTATGGCTAGAGTTTAGCATCTACTTTTCCACTTACAGTGCTGGGGATTGGGTCAAGTGGTCTGTTGGCCTTAGCACTGACATTTTCATTTTAATGGCTAGAGTAAAAAAAAAAACAAAGGAAATTTATTTCAGGTAAACAGAAGTTAGAAAAGAAGTAGCATTTGCAAAAGGACTGTTAGATGAGGGGACACACCAAGACTGTTTCTGTTCTGCCTTGGCTCCTGATTGTCAGGACATAGGTAGAACACTGCTGCTGTAGTCTGTTCTGAGCACAGTGGTTTGTTTTGGGGTTTCCAGAAGACAGTCAAATCACCCTTTTGTTGTTGTAGATGGATGAACTCTAGGTGATGAGTCCCGGGAAGGGCAGAGCACCTGGGTACAGCCCATGCCCCTTAGTCTTTCTAGCATTGCTAGGTAGTGGCAGACTAGGATGCAAAGAATATGAAGAAAATGTTTCTCTTCAGCTAAACCAGTGGCTTGGAAAGTAAAACGTGTGCATCCTTCGCATAAAAAATAATTCATTTTTTCCTGAAGGTCATGTTTTGTTAATTATTTTTCTGGGAGGGGTCTACGAATAGGTGCTGCATTTAATATTTTCACAAACTGTCTGGATCAAAGTTTATACTTCACAGACATGGAAATAGAAGCTCAGGGATTTGAGAGTCCTTTCCAAAGGCTTTCCAACCCCTGCACGAGTCAGGACTCAGGCTCTCCTTCTGGAGCCTGGGGGGCTCCAAGGTGTTAGTCGGTCTTCCAGGACTTTGCTATCTGTAGTCACTTTTTCAGTTTTATGGTGTTTTAAATAAAATATCTTGACTGGCAGTGGGACTTTCCCCCATTATCTTTAAACTTTAAATATTTTACACTGTACACTATTTATTTTTGAGAAAAAGTCGTGATATTGTAGTCTAGCCATGAGTTTAGGATCCTCCTGTGTGGAGTGGAAGGGTTATAGGTGTGTGTGCCATAGCACCCGGCTTTACACTAACTCTTGGCTTGCTTTCCATTTGGTTAGTGCCTGTGGGATATCCTGACGGTGTGTTCTACTGTAACTGGTGTGTTTTTGTGCCTGTGGGATATCCTGATGGTGTGTTCTATGTAACTGGTGGGATATCCTGATGGTGTGTTCTACTGTAACTGGTTTGTTTTCCAATTCTTTTTTTTTTTTTTTTTTTAAGCCCTGGCTGTCCTGGAACTCGTTTGTAGACCATGCTGGTCTTGAACTCACAGCAGTCCTCCTGCCTCTGCCTGTTGAGTACTGGGATTAAAGGCATGTACCACCACCACCCAACATGGTTTCCAATTCTTTACCCATTATTATATTTCTTTGATTCATCTGTAAAATTGCAGAGTAAAATAATAAGTCATATTTTAAAATACAGCATCAGTAAAAATCAAAATAAACATGAAATAAAGCTTGAACCTCACTTTTTAGCAATTTATACACATGAGATAAGAGTTTTGCTTTTTTGCCCCCAGAGAAAAGTGGACTAAGGGGAAGTGGTTTTACCAACTGTGGATGGATTTTGCTTCTGTTTAGAATCTTGTTTATTTGTTTACATATATATTTTGAGATTTTATTTATTATTTGTTTGTTTATGATTTTTTTTTGAGGTAGCATTTCTCTGTGTATCCCTGGGTATCCTGGAACTCTCTCTGTAGACCAGGCTGGCTTCCAACTCAGAGATCTGCCTGCCTCTCCCTCCTAAGTGCTGGGATTAAAGGCATGTACTATCATGCCTGGCATAAGATTTCACTTTTAATATTATGGGTATTTGTGTGTCTGTGTGAGTGAATGCCATGTGTTTGGGTGCCCATAATAGAAGAGGGTGTTAGCTCCCTTAGAGCTGGAGTTATAAGCCATTTTGAGCCACTCCATGAGGGTACTGGGAACTGATCTCAGATCTTCAGGAAGGGCAGCAGAGCCATCTCTCCATATTGCTTGTTTTCTTACAGTCTTGGCCTGCCTCCAGACTTAGTGCCTGGCTCATTCATCGCTGTTTGTGTCTCTTCCCTGAGAGTCTCACTTCTGGCTGCACAAATCTAATGCTGGTGTCCCATCATCAAAATCATGGAGTAACTTTTTATTATAAATTTTCTGGATGAGTTCCATGTGAATTTGATGGCTGAAAAGTGGTTGAAAACAACACTATTGCTTGTTGCTGCATCTACTGCTGATTTGGTGAAATTCCTAGGTATACTGACATAAAGTCAAATGAAGGTTTAGGGAGAGGCCATAAGAATAGCCACAGTGAGTTTTCAAACATTCATAG